ATTATTATTATTACATTGAATTAGAGCAGACCTCATTAAATGTCCAGGCTGTTTCTTTGCTCAATGTTAAATAGAGACCTGTTGTTGTTGTTTTCCTGTGTTATTTATTATTTAGTTTCAGGCTCGTTTTTTAAAATTATGAATAGCAGGTTTTGTTGTTTTTCCATATTTGCTGCATAGGCTTTATCCACTATTTGCGTCACTGACAATAAAACTTACAAATGGAAATCGCCCAGCAGTTTTACCGCTGTGTCATCGTGTGTGGAAATTTCATGCTTTCCCCCTCTTGCTGAAAATAATTCAAAGCCAATGACACAGAGCAGAACTCTTCCTCTAGTTTTAAACATTAAAGTGTTTCTGTGCAGGCGTTTGAGAAGGGAGCAGCGATCAGGCCCACTGAAAAACACATGAGGCTGTCACAGCAGGAGGTCGCTGCTCTAGTAGACCTGTGTGTTTATTTTCCCGTCAACGGCCTCGCGGTTGAGGTATGCACTTAAAGGGTTTGACTCCCGCAGGGATCTCGGCACCGCGGCTCAGGTTTAAAAGACGGCCGTCACAGGGAGCTCTCAGGGCGGATCCGTGCTCACAGCGGGGACGCTGAAAGGCGGTGTTCGGCTGGAGCACAACGCAAATACCGGACGTGATAAAGATGGACCGAGGAGAGAGGAAAAAAGCACTTCACTGGCTCACACAGAGTCGAAACACCTACACATGACCACCCAGCTACGTGGCCTGCTCTGCTGTGATCTAATATCCTAGTCAAAAAACAAAAAATACGTCTTCATGTGGTTGAAACTAGACCTGGCAACTTCTTGGAGGTAGTCTGTGGTGAGAATGGCCCACCGAGAAGCCTCACTTCTGATGAGGAAGGATGACACAAGAGGACCACAGAGGGCCCAGCCCCGCTCTCTTGTGGAAACACTGTCCCCCAGCGCTAAACAGCTCTGCTTCTTCCATCAATCCAGGACTGAAAGAGGGCATCTGGTGTGGGTGGTGTTTTTGTCACTCAGTTTACCTTCATCTCACCTCCATGAATAACTCAATTTACACCTTAGTGACAAAGATAATCTGCAGCTTCATGCCGTGAGCCCTTGATTTGTGATTTAGATCCACTTTTAAACTCTTTTGAGGATATTTGGCCATCAAGGAGAAAACAATCATGATTCATGTGCTCTCGCTTTCTGAGTGAGGAAAACCTCGAGTTGCTTTTCGTTTTCTTTTTTTTTTTGCCACACCCTTCAAGTGGCCAGGTGAGGCGCGTGCCTCTGTAGCTCTCCACGGTGCTGAAAACCACACCGCTTCAGAGCTGTATAACAACAACCATAAGATGTTGACATTCATGTGTATCTCCTCTTAACGGATTTATTAAATGCGACAGTGTAAATATGCTTTGACCCAACACTGCCTGTAAACTGTCCATTTAAGCGGACATTATGGTCTTATTAACTTTAGTAAGGTTAGTCAAAATTAAATTTCACGTTGCTTTCTTTGTCGTGGCAGTCCAGGCAAAGAACACAAACATGACCACAGCGGTACTTTTATTTTCAAGCAACATCGATTCACATGCAACTAATGAAATCTCGGTTCTCACTGACCTAGTGAGCTTTCTCCAACGATGTATGTGTTTTTACAGCCACAAAAAATCTGACATTTCTTAATAGAATCCCTCTTGTTGGTCCATACACGGAAAGTCAGCTGCTCATTTATGTCCGTGTCATTGGTGGGTTGAGTGGCGCCTTCAGTCTAGTTCAGTCTGCCATAGATAAAGCTGAGCTGTTGTGTCTCAGGTGTTCTCCAGCAGGTCCATCATGAAGGAGATGTAGACGATGGCCAGACGCAGCGTCTCGATACGGGACAGCCTCTTCTCGTATGCGAATGTAGGAACTTTTCTCCTTAGTTCGTCAAACGCCTCATTCAGACTGAACATTCGCTTTCTCTCCCGCACATTGGCCGCCTGCCGCTGGACCACCGTGATGATCCTCCTCCGCTTGGCCTTCGTGTTCCCCCGGGCCCCGCGGCTGTAGTATCTCGGCGAGCACATCGCCACCTGAGCAGTGCGTACACCGTCCTCCGCTTCCCGGCTCCAGGAAGGCTCGTTTAACTGCCTTTGGCTGATTGGACAGGATGGAGCAGCATCCACCTGCTGCTTTGGTGCTAAAGCATATTTGTGGGGATACTCTATAACATTAATGTTCATCACCGTGGAGTCAATAAATCGGCCCTGCATTTCCATCTTCAATGCGCTGCAGTTTGAGAGAAAGTCTCTCTTTTGTTTTTCTGTTAAGAAACTGACTCCAATCAGAGCTCTCAGACGGACTAAAGTCGTTCACCAGACACACAATCCAAAGCACCCAATCAAATAAATCCAACTTTCTCCAAATCCGGTCAGTGCGCTACAGGGTTAGATCCTATTGGGCCCAAGTCCAAGAGCTTCTTCCTGCTGTTTTAATAAGTCGCCTCTACCACCTCACAGCGCGACATCTTTCATGTCCCTCTTGCTCTTAATTGAGCCCATTTTTGCCGTCAGTCGACCGGTGACTGGGATGAGAAAGACTTTTTAAAAAAAGGCAAGCTCGACGGCCCTGCCAGTTGATGCACTGTCCTCCTGGAGGCCTTTAATGAGCATCTGAAGAACGAGGGCTCTTAACAGAGGGTCATGCAGTCTTGTTTGCACTCTCTCCTCTGCCTCAGAGGCTAAATAATGACACTTTTATCACTTAAACCAGCCAGGAGAAGGCCAAACAGAACATTCTCTAACAGTCACTACACACCACAAGCTTTTCTGTTGCAAATTAAAGCAAATAACTGTCCGTTCCCATGGCAGGACAGTGTCCACACTGCAGGGACCAACAAGAGAGCCACTGCTCAGCCTAAAACACTGCACTCTCAGAAAATAATGCACTTTAGGGCAAGGTAATTCCAATAAACTGATAAGGTTACTGCAATGCACACTTGTGGTTTGTAACGTATACAGACACCTTTTATGCCTGTATTGATAATATTATGACTTTGGTTTAATCAGAGCATTTTTGGCATTTTAAAAGTTGCAGATCAGTTTTATACTTACTCATTCACGTTACCTTAGCATATCTCAGGGTTATAGGAGAAACCCTGGAGATATGAAGGTATAAGGGTGAACAAAAGGATGGAGGCTTTAAAGCCAGAGGCTCCTTGCTGTGTTTATGATCTAAAAATAATGATTTTTGTCAGACTGTATTCAGCTAACCTAAATAAATTCACAGCAACCCCAAATTCCAAGAGTAAAATCATTATTTTACTCTACTCCTACTTCTGTGAGTTTAGAGTGTTTTTCACTGACATTATGTGAGCGTTCACTTGAACAGCACATCAAACAGCGGAATCCCTTATTTTATTTTTCTTGATCATTTAAAATTTTCCAGCTTAATGTGATATTACCTTAACCACAAAGACCAAGAGCATAAATTCAGATCCAGCTGAGTAGAAAAGTGCTATATAAGTACAGTCCATTTGCTGTTTTACCTTTTACCTCATAAATGAATTGCCAGCAGAAAGGGTCACCTGCATGTGCATATTTAGCAACAGGAATTATTGTGGTGTCGGGAAGTGAATGCGCTGGTCTGAAAGTTGCTGAATTCAGCTTTGCCGGTGGTTTCGCAGCAAACTCATATGCTGACAAGCTGTTCCAGAGACATTTCTTATATCAGCCTTTCATAAGATGTTTTATAAATCATCTGAAAATGAGCTAATCTTTAATAAGCTTTTTTTTCTTTGTCCATCTTGGAAAGTTGGGTTTTATTCCGGATCCCAGAATTGCATCTCAGGAGTATCGCTGAGCACTGATAATGTCTGCTACCCCTCTTTTTTATATTTTGCTTCCAAGAAGCCAGACTTTCTTCTGATTTCTTAACCCTGGAGAACCCATGGGGTCAGAGCCGACCCCATGGGTTCTCCAGGGTTAAAGTGGACTTTCAAAGTTTTTCTTTGGACATTCACTATTTAATTCCCACTAATTTTCTCTTCTGTCCACTTTTTCTGATGAATGTTTGTTTGCTTGTTTTATTGTTTTAACTATTAAACACTGATTTAAGAGTCACTGAAGCATAAAAGGCATTTAACTCAAGGAAGAATCCGTGTTGTGTCTGTACATAACAGACAACATAGCAGAGAGCCAATTTTAAATTCTATCCTTAGTCACTAGCAGTCTCTTTTAATAAACACATACTTTGTTCCAATTTCTTTAGTTGAATCTACATAAAAATGCCAAAGGTAACACAATTTGTATTTTTTGAGCATCAAGTTGATTCCCAAAGAGCAAAAGAAGAACACAAGAAGATGTGGCAGGCTTAAAACTTCTTCAGCAGCAGATGAACAGTTTCTGAAATTCATATAGTTAAGAAAGTATTGTTTGCTGAAGCCTCATTAGACACGCTATCAATCAGTGACAACAGGTCTCATGGAGTGATGATTACAAACTTGAAATTATTCATACAAATCCTTGTAAGTAAGTCAGGAGGAGGTCGTGAGAGAGGTACAAACGGGAGTGTCTACAGCCATCTGTAAACCACAGTGGAGGCGCTGTCATGGTTTGGGGTTGCACTTAGAGATCAGGTTTGATCCACCATGCAATACCATATCAAAAGCATCTGACTAGCTATAGTTTCATTTTTCATCATGACAATGATCCTAAACACACTGGCAGCACAGTAAAAGCATACCTGGAAATAAAAACACCCACTGGAACACTATTAGTCATGGATTAGGCTCCCCAGAGCTCAGACCTCAACATTACTGATGGTGTGCGATCATCTTGACAGAGAACATAAAAAAGGCAGCAAACATTCAAAGAAGAGCTTTGAAGGTCCTTCAAGAAGCCTGGAAAACTATTCCTGAAGACTACTTAAAGGAACGCTATACTAAGAGAGTTCAGACTGTGTTGAAGAATAAAGGTGTTCATATCAAATATCGACTTATAAGCTTGTTAGAATTGTACCAACTCCAATTTTGTTTATAAAATTTATAAAATGTTTATAAGAAAATTGCTACACATATTTCCCATCTTACTAGCAAAATATAAAAAAATAAATATTTGTCATAGATTTTAAGTTCAATTTAACCTTACCCACCTTGAATTCATAGCGGGCATTTAGACTTTTCTCATGAAAGTAGAACACCAAGAGTGTGATTGACACAGCTAATCCTCCAGTAGGATGTTGAATGTCCTCCTGGTTGAGTTAACACTAACATCAAGAGCATGCTCACAAGTTTTTTTTTAATTTAAAGTTTTTTATGCATTCTTGTGTGATTATTCCATACCCAAGAGTGTGAATGTACAAGTGTCTGTCTTGTATACACACTCCAACCTAAGCATACTTCTCCATCTCCCTCTGCTGCCTCTTCTTCCTCTCTTTCTGTGTTTTCCTGGCACGCAGATAAACATGATGGGACATTCCTCTGGTTGTGGTGGAAACGCTGAGAAAGCACAGCTGGGCGGGAGAATATGAGGTAATCTCACCCTGGGGCTACTTTGTAAATATTGGTCTTAAATAAGGAGTAAAACCCCAAAAGAGGCACACAAACACACACACACACACACACACACACACACACACACACACACACACACACACACACACA